GAAATAGGCTCCAGGCTCTGAGCTGGCAGTCAGCACAGAGCCCGACGCGGGGCTCGAACCCACGAACCGCGAGATCATGACCTAAGCGAAAGTCGGACGCTTAACCGACTAAGCCACCCAGGTGCCCCTTTATTGATTTAGTTTGAAAGAGAGACAGAGAACCAACAGGTGATGGGTGGAGAGAGTGGTAGACAGAGTATCTGAAGTGGGCTCTGCTGATGGCAGGGAGCCTGATGCGGGGCTGAATTCATGAAACCTGAGATCAAGATTTGAGCTGAAGTCAGATGCTTAACCTACTGAGCCATGCAGGCGCCCCTGATTTTTTTTGTTTGTTTGTTTTTTAAAGAGTATCCATGCAGTATGTGTCTTTTGCTCTATGGCTTATTTGATTTAGCAAAATACAATCCAGGTGCATCCTTGTTCTGCCAAGTGGCAGTGTTGCCTTCTTATTTATAACTGATTATTCCCATATGTGTGTGTACTAAATGTTCTTTGTCACCCTATTCATTTATTTTTAAAATGCAATTTATGTATTTATTTTTAAAGTATGCTCCTTGCCCAATATGGAGCTTGAACTCTGAACCTTGAGATTAAGAGTCCCGTGCCCAACCACTGAGCCTGCCAGGTGCCCCTTTTTTGTCACTTTAAACATTCACACCACAGGGTGTCTGGGTGGTTCAGTCACTTGAGCGTCTGACTTCACTTTGGTCATGATCTCACGGTTTGTGGGTTCGAACCCTGCATCTGGCTCTGTGCTGACAGCTCAGAGCGTGGAGCCTGCTTCGGATTCTTTGTCTCCCTCTCCATCCGCCCTTCCTCCGGTTGGGCACTGTCTTTCTTGGCCTCTAAAATATGAATACATATTAAAAAAAAAAACAAAACACCACCACCTTTAACAATGTTTCCGTATATTGGCTATTGTGAATAATACTGCTGTGGATGTGCAAGTGTAGGTAATTTGTGGTAATTCTGATTTTGTTTCCTTGGTATACATATCTAACAATGGCAGTGGTGGGCCATATGCTGGTTCTGTTTTTAATTTTGTTTTGGTACTCCCTAATATTTTTCCATAACTTGTCTGTCTGTATTCCCAGCAACAATGTTCAAGGTTTTTTTTTTTCTCCACGTCCTCATTAGCATGTGCCTCTTGTCTTTTTTTTTTTTTAAGAAGAACCATTGTAACAGGTATGAGGTGATACATTTTGGTTATGATTTGCATTTCCCTTATGGCTAATGAGTGTGAGGGCATTGTGGCCACTGGCATGTCCTTTTCACTGTCTTCTGTATTTCTTTGCTCTGATGCAACTTTTCAGTTAGGTACAGTGGTAGTTGTTTTCGCCATTTGTCTATGCTTTTGACTTCATATTAGAAAAATCATTGACAAGAATATAGTTAGGAGGATTTTCCAGACATTTTAAGTTTTGATGTCCTGTGTTTAAGTGTTCGTTCAATTTAAAGTTCATTTCCCCAAGTGTTAGAAGATTGGGGTACAGTTTTATTGTTTTGTTATTTGGATATTCAGATTTCCGGGAGGAGAGTATTCTTTCCCCAGTGTATTATTATTTTTTTTTTTTTTTTT